GGTCTTGCTGGGTTATTTATTACTTCGACACTCCTGCACTTGGGAGAATATATTAATCTTTTAGTCATGTCAGCAGACCTATCACATAAATCAGAGGATTGATTGATGAGTTCAACTACTTAAATTGAGAAGACAAAGAGAGGGTGAAGTTTAGAAAAGATATGCTTGTTCAGTCTAAAGTGAAACATTGTTCAGTCATTAGGTCATATCTGGAGCTGTAGATCTTGGATTTTAATTTGGTTTATATGACTAGAAAGCTAAGATATAGGCCTAAAAGATTCATGGGAATGCAAGATTCAATTCTGTTGTTTGGAAGTCCAAATCTTAGCAACAACAGACAAGTTTGAATCTATCTTGCAGCCCAAACATTGTTCAGTGTTCAACCTATATCTTGAGTTTTAGAAGTCCAAATAACCTTAATTTTTTTGGTTGGAAAGCTGAGACAATTTTCTAGAACTTTTATGAATCAAGTCTATTCAAATTATGATGTTAGCAATAATATTTTGTTCAGACAAGAAGATAAAGATTGTCATTAAGTCAAGATGTGGTCATCCACTCAACAATTAGTCAACAAATCAATAATTCCCAATTATGACCTATAAAAAGGGGCATTTGCTATGCATTTAGGCATCTTAATTTTCATATCAATATTATATTCTTGCTCTTTCTTTATTGTAATGCTTAAGTTTTGCTTATATTAATCTCTTTTTTATGCTTTTCATTTCTTTTCCTTTACTTAGTTAACTTTTATCTTATTTATTCATGTTTCTCTCTTTTATTATGTTTAGTTAAGTTTATTATGTCAAGGTGAAAAGGTTACACTAATAGTGTAAGAATAATTATAGTATAAACTCAACATGGACCTTAATGTTTGATGCTAACATGTTTTATATTTGTTATCTTGTTCACTACTTGTTTGTTTTTTATGATCGACTTGTTTTAACTCGCAAGTGCACAAGTGTGCGATCTATCAATTAACTCAGTAAGATCGAGTTCATATCCACAGAGAGCTAGATCTAGAAATTAAGCTAGGTAACAAAAAAAACTTAAGAGAAAATAAATTAATTGATGGATTTGTAGCAAATATGCAAAAGTGTAAATAGATTTTAAATGACAAGAAAAAGTAAGCGCTGCTCTAAATCAATTTTAATGGTGATGTATTGGTGATTCTTTTAAGATATATAAGATAACTCAACCTAATATCAACGATGGTGATATTAGATTGGAAGATATTACAATGAAGTTTAAAAAAAGATGAAGATTGATTATTGCTTAGGTATGAACAAGTACTTTCATATTATGTAAAACATTGAATCAAGCAATCTTTATA